AGCGTTGATTTGTTAATTTTCAAATCCTATACTTGTAAAGTATATACTTAATTAAAAAATACTTTTTTATTATAGTATTTTGGAAAGGTTTTGAAATCGGCTATAAATATGAAATAAGAAATGCGGGTTTCAATCTAAAAAATTTTAGGTACTTGATCTTTTGTGATCTTAAGGACATTCTCAAGGTCAATGAAGCTTACCATCTTCTTTTCCTCTAGTAAGTGAGCAACTTTTGTCTGAAACATTTTTTCATATCTTTTATATTTCTCGGGATACTTCAATATGTCGATTAAAATAAGACAGTACCATTTTAGTGCATTAAGATTTCTTGAAAACTATGGTAGATACGGAAAAATGTTTCAAACAAAAGTTGTATGATTCGAAGGGAGACATAAAAAGGACGTACTAGAATAGAATAGAATAGAATTTATTACACTTCAGCATTTACATAGTCAAAAAGGGGACTTGGTTTACATAAATTCCTTATCCACGTTCATATTCTTAAAGTTTAACATATATATGTTTAATACTATTGGGTTGTCCAGAAAGTTCGTGCTGATTTTGAAGGAAAATTGAAACGCAGAAGATTTAAATTTTAGTATACATTTATTAAATTATATAAGTGTCATTCTGTTCTACAACCTTTCTCCATCTTTCAGGCAACTTGAAAATTCCATCCTTCCAGAATCTCTCAAGTTTTTCAGCGAAAAACTTTTCTAAATGATTTTTTACTTCGATCAAAGAGTTGAAGCTTTTTTCATTAAGGGAATTTTGTAATAATCGAAATAGGTGGAAATCAGAGGGCGCGAGATCTGGTAAATATGGCGGATGGAGTAGAACATCCCAATCGAGCTTCAACAACTTTTGTTGAGTTATCAAAGACACATGAGGCCGCACATTGTCCTGATGAAACACGACGATTCGCTATTTCTGGACGTTTTTGTTCAATTGCTGTCTTCAATTCGTCTAATTGGGAACAATACTTCTCTAAATTTATCGTCTCGTTGTTTGATAAAAGCTCATAATACAGGATCCCTTTCCAAGCCCACCAGACACAGACCTTTTTTGGATGAAGACCGAGGGTGGCTAAAGATGGTTCATTCCGCTTTCCCCAAGATCTTTTTCGCTCAACATTATTGTAAATGATCCATTTTTCATCCCCTGTCACTACTTGCTTCAAAAATGGTGTCCCCTCGTTGCATTTATAGAACAAGTCGCAAATGGAAATGCGATCAGATTTTTCTCCGTTAAATCCTGAGGAACCCATACATCAAAACGGTTTATGTAGCCAAGCTTCACAAAATGCTCGTGGATGGTGGATTTTGACATATTCAACATTTCTGCTAATTTACGTGTCGTATAGCGTGGGTTATTCTCGATCAGTGTTTTAATCTGATCTTCATCTGTAGTGGAGAGCCTACTTGGAAGTTCTTGATCTTCAAGATTGAAATCATTAGCTTTAAACCTAGCAAAGCACTTCCGCACAGTTCTTTCAGCTACAGCACTTTCGCCTTAAACAGCGCATATCTTGTTTGCCGCTTGTGTGGCATTTTTGCCTTTTCAGTAAAAGAAAAACATTAAATGCCTAAAATGCCTGTATTTTGTTTTCTTCCATATTCAAAGGCGATAAAACTGACAAAAATTAACGTATCGCAACCAAATTTTGTTCCAAATATGCCTGAAGTACCGTCTTTTATGATATGTACATGTCATTTGTTTTCAATCGTTCTGATATATTCAGATCTGTCCTTATCCACCTAACAAAAATCGGCACGAACTTTCCGGACAAACCAATATATAAAGTTAAAGTAAAAATAACAGTTTCATCTTTTTAATATGATCTTTTAAATGAAAGAAAATACTATTAATATCAAAATAATGATATTGTGTTTTTTAGACAATTATTACAACATTGATATAAGATTGATATGATATAAGAATATAATATTATTGAAAATTGAAATCAAATTTAAAAAAAAAAGAAAGATTTTATATTGTTGCTTATATGGGAAATAATGATTACGTTGATTAGAATATAACTATTTTAAGATGCAATAATTTTTCTTCTCTGTGAAATGGCTTATGCAAAAGATAATTTTTGGGAGGATTTTGGAACGTCTCCACGAAGTTTACAATTTTTATTCAAGGAAAAAATTAAGTTTCATATAAGAAATTAGTCACTTTTAAAATTTTTTAAAAACAACGATATCTATGACATAATTCACATCGAGACTATATATCCTCCTTGAAATAAAATAATTTTTATCTAAAAGCAAGTTCCTGAGTAGTTACTTCAGCCATATAATCAAATCATGACGTCATAAATGAGAAATGATATGTTGATTTTTCTTGCATGCCATTGTAAATAAAGAGAATTTGAATGAAACGAAATTATGAGATCGCTTTAAAACACTTGTAAAAATGAGCCAAGACTATTCTTACTATAGACATATAAGATAGACCCTCGTGCAAGAAAAGATTTAGTATCAACTTCATGACGCAAAAGGTCGGTATTCAATTCTTATATTTAAGATTGTCTTAAATCAATAAAATTGAATATGAATATCATATTTCGCGTTTTACAGTTGATAGTCACTGAGAAACGACGTGGAGCAAAAAATAGGCGTGGTTTAATCAAACTGCACACATCATATTATCCCTTTCACCATGGCAGAACTAGGCTATATACTGTTCCTCAAATTTACTGAAAATGTTACAGTTTACACTATAGATTTTCAGTCACAGATTTCTATTATAACACTAGACTGCTAACTCCCCACTTTTCCTGTTATCAGATAGTATGTATTACTTGTGGCACATTGTAAAACCGCGCATGCGCAAAACACCATTTATATACTTTCATATACTCGAAGAGATTATATATACACAGAATGAACGAAATTAGACTTATTCAATGCGTTTTTGCATGAAATGAATCTGAAATGATCTGAAATAAATAGTGGTGCACATAGTTTGTAACAGTTCGTGAAAATTAAAGGTTAGATCGCCATGACATCTTATATACTTAAAAACTAATCACGGAATGGCTGGTCACATGACCTATTGATATCTCTTTTCTATACATGGTTTTCCATTGCGCGCAGACAACATTTTTATATAAGAAAAAATAGGAAGTTAGCAGTCTAGTGTTATAATAGGAGTGTGTTTTCAGTACTGGCAGTCAATTTTGGAACACAGCCTTAGAGAGACACACAGTCCAACTGTACATATTATCCCTTCCACTATACCCGGAGCGGATCGGATAGTGATCGGGTCGAGCGAGTTTTGAACATTCGGGACCTGGAAGTCGATTCTGTATCTTCAAACAAGGTGAAAATTACAAAAGCGAGCAAATTTACTAGGTGTTGATCAATGAAATAATCAGTATTCTAGTAAATTCGCTCACTTATAATTTTCACTTCATTTCGAGATACAGAATCGATCCTCTGCTCGATCCGATTATTAGGATGCGGGTACCCGAAAATATAGATCGGGTCGATCAGTCCGACCCGATCTGTATTTTCGAGTACCCGCACACTCCTAAATACACACACACACACACACACACACACACACACACACACACACACACACACACACACACATATTCACAATTTAAAATATAGTTATTTTTATTTTTTGTAATTTCATGAAATATTTTCATATGATTGTTAATAATTATTACATATGAATCTGTTATAGGTTCTGCCATTGTTAATAATAATTATTTAAAGAGGTATAAATTATTAAAAATTAAAAAATTTAATTTAAATATATGCTAAGAATTCTTATATTATTTTTAATAATTTTAACAAAAAGTCTTTACTGGATATTCTTTTTTCGTTTATTAACATTAAATTTAAATAATTATTATTACATGAGGATTTTTTTATACTTATTGTTAAAGTTATGAATTTTCAAAGAGTTTACATTCCATGGAGAGATAAATTTTAATTAATTACACACTATTATTTCTTAGAATGAAAAAAAGCAGCTAGAGACAGCATATGTGAAAATCAACTAACAGAAGTACAATATGTAAATTTTAATAAAAGGACGTGAGCTATTATTTAATAACTATTTATGTATATTTAACGGTTTTTAAAAAATGAAGATGACTCAATAAAGGTCGAAACATTTATTATTATAGTTATTTTGACAAATGTATTAGATATATGAAGATATTCGCAAATTTGAACTAGCGTCAGCTTTTATGTTTCTTTATTAATTTGATTTAATCTTAAAGCTGTTTTATATTATTATTACTTTTGTATGTATATCGTTGCTCAAAGTCATGACACCTTGACATCATATATCAAGGTTAAGATAATAAAAATTCATTTTTACATTAAAAATAAAAATGAGAGGAATAATCTCCAATAATTGTTTTGATTTTGATATATGATCGTAACTGATCTGAGCAACATTCAAAAGATTTTAACCGTCAATTGGGTATCTTGAATAATGCAAATGCTGATCACGATGTAATGTTTTGGAAAGCTCTTAAAATAAGCTGAAATAAGAATATGGAATAAAAAAGGAATTTCATTAAAAAAATTACGCACGCACGCACGCACGCATGCACACGAACACATACACAAGGTGTCCCCTAATTACTGACAATACTCGTATTTTTTTAATGGCATCTAACGGGAAAAATGCCACGAACTTTTTCCCACACCTAATATAATGATAGATATATCAATATCGGACAAACAAAAGGCATAATGATATTATGAATTCTAATCATAGTGATATGATAAGATATCATGAGAATCCTATTTTTTTTCAAAAGAATATTCTGTGCACATGTGTGTGTTGCTATTAGAAGTTAGGCTAAAAGTGGGAAATGGAATGCTAAGAATAGGGTTGGTTTTGAATCTAATATATTAATAAGCGAAAGAGATATAACAAGAATATTCTCTTTTTCTTTTAATATTTATTTCAAATGTATTACTCTTTATACTGAATTGAAAGATTTTAATAATATTTATCAATAGTTGCAGGCGCTGCCCCTTATGGAGTATTTCCCAATCAGCCTCAATTGTACGCGACGCAAGGTCCACCACCGCCGACGTATGATCAAACTCTTACACATCCTATGGTGAGTCATTTCGTTTCTATTCGAAGAAGAACAATAATCATAATTTCATCAAAAATTTCAACAAATATTGATTCTCGTTTAGATGTATCAACCAATGTACGGGCAAGGATATCCTTTACAATATTATCCACCAGGATATCCCTTGCAATATTATCCGCCGTTAGCTGCGACAACAGCATACTATCCTGCTATGCAACCCGCCCCTGTAAGACCTACCATTATGGTACCTGTAAGTATCAATATGTATTTCTCTAAAAAAAATTATTTCTAGCGAAGTTTAAAACATATTGTTACACAAACTTAATTTTTTAAAAATATACATTGGTCCAAAAATTAAAGAATTTACCTATTCCTCCAAAAATGGATAATTTTCAAGAGAATATAATTTCATAAAAAATTATCTAAAAAGCATTTTAAAGTTTAAAGTTTAAAGTTTAAAGTCTTTATTTTTCATATCATTAGTATAGATGATTTAAGAAAAAATTAGGTCTTTTTATTTGTTTTTTAATACTGAGCACTGAGCGATATTCCATTCGTCTTCTGTCATCAAAGTCAAACAAACGCTTTTTGTTTCAATATTAAATAATTCAGTGAAGAAAATTGTACAATGCTCAAAAAGTATGCAAATTAAAGTTAAAGATTTACTCTTTCGAAAATTGCTTTTGTGTGCAATTTTTAATTCACCCTATGGAAACTTGTAGACCAAGAGGCCACTGTAGTAATTTTGTTACCCATAGCGACAAGTGGGTAACTTTTTATTTTATGTAAAACATAAAAACAATACATATATTTAAGTTCTGTCGCGATCGCTTCAAGAGAAGATGGGCTTTCCAAAATGTTACAGATTTTGATTTTTGAAAGCGTCAAGGTTGAATGTTGTTGCAATCGATAGTTAAAATCTTTATTTCAAGACAGGCAGATACCTCTCAAAAGGGTACAAGGGAACGCCATACTGCATTAATTGGTAATTAATTGGTAAATTTTTTCTGAAAAAAAAATCGATAGCGACAACATTGAATTTTTGTCTATTAACTATTTAATTTTGATATCAATTATCGAGAAATATGATTCCTCCCCATGCCTTTTTTTGGATGGTCATGAAAGCAGCCATACTTATCCAATATGAACAATTTTACTTTCTTCTTTTTCTTATTTGGAATAAGAAAATTGTACATGTTCAGATAGGTATGGCTATTCTTCGTGACCATCCGAAAGGTATAGGAATCACATTTTTCGACAATTGATATCAAAATTAAGCATTAGACAGAAATTCAACTTTGTCGCTATTTTTTTTTTTAAATTTACCATTTTGATCCAGTATGACGATCTCTTGCATCCTTCTGAGGGGTATGGAAGTCCGCTTATCTTGAAATAAGGGTATTAACTATTAATTGCAACAACATTAAATCTTAACGCCTTCAATAAAAAAATCAAAATCTACAAAATTTTAGAAAGCCTACCTTCCCTTCAAACAACCGAGCTTAAATATATAGTATACTATATGTATTGGTTTATATATTAGGTGTACAACTTTGCTTCCGCCGTTTTTCTATAGATGGCTTTAGCGGTAAGTGGTGGTCGAAATAAATAGATCATAGACGTCATACAATAAACTTGGGCATCCATCAACATAACCCCATAGAAACATTAGTCGATTTGTGTCTGCATCATAAAGTTATTCTCGATTGAAAATGTCAGTTTACGAGCCAAATTCTCGTCATTTGCGGGAGGTTAATTTTTTGCTTCAATATGAAGAAATCTGAGCTGAGGCTCATCGAATGCTCTCAAATACTTATGGGCTCTCAAATACTTATGAGGCCGCTATTAGTGAAAGAACGTGTCGTGAGTGGTTTCAACGCTTCAACGGTGATTTTGACGTCCAAGGTCATGCTCTGTATTTGGTGGGACCAGCTCGGCGTAGTGTATTATGAACTGTTAAAACCGACTGAAACAATCACAGGCGATCGATATCGAACGCAATTGATGCGTTTGAGCCGAGCATTGAAAGACAAACGGCCGCAATACGAGAGACACGATAAAGTGATTTTGCAGCATGACAATGCTCGACCCCATGTTGCGAAAGTGGTCAAGACATACTTGGAAACGTTGAAATGGGAAGTCCTACCCCACCCGCCGTATTCTTCAGACGTCCCTCTGACTATCACTTGTTTCGATCAATGGCACATGGCCTGGCTGACCAGCACTTCCGGTCTTATGAAGAAGTAAAAAATTGGATCGATTCGTGAATAGCCTCAAAAGATGACCAGTTTTTTCGGCGCGGGATTCGTACGCTACCCGAAAGATGGGAGAAAGTAGTGGCCGGCGATGGACAATACTTTGAATCATAAATGTATAACCAGTTTTTTACAATAAAGCTTCGAATTTCGGAAAAAAACGGCGGAAGCAAAGTTGTACCTAATAAAATAAAAGATTATCCATTTCCCATACTTGTTGCTATGGGTAACAAAATCACTAGTGGTCTCTTGGTCTATTGGCAAAGTTCGTAAAAAATTTTGAGATTTGAATTTTTATCCATATCCATAAAAAATCAGTTAAATCGTTATTTAAACTACCGATTAAACTACCGATTTGAACTACCGAAAAGTAAAACTTTCAAGCTTTAAAATGCTTTTTTTGAATCATCTCATTATAATAAATTTTAACAAAGTTATATTTCCTTGAAAATTTCATTTGGAAGGACCATTCATATTGGAAAGCAATATAAGTGATCCTTCAATTTTTTGACATAGTGTATACCCAATGTATTTGATTTAGATGCATACACTCAGTTATTTTTTTAAATAATATTAGGTGTACAACTTTGCTTCCGCCGTTTTTTTTCCGAAATTCGAGGCTTTATTGTAAAAAACTGGTTATACATTTATGATTCGAAGTATTGTCCATCGCTGGCCACTACTTTCTCCCATCTTTCGGGTAGCGTACGAATCCCGCGTCGAAAAAACTGGTCATCTTTTGAGGCTATCCACGAATCGATCCAATTTTTTACTTCTTCATAAGACCGGAAGTGCTGGTCAGCCAGGCCGTGTGCCATTGATCGAAACAAGTGATAGTCAGAGGGAGCAACGTCTGGAGAATACGGCGGGTGGGGTAGGACTTCCCATTTCAACGTTTCCAAGTATGTCTTGACCACTTTCGCAACATGGGGTCGAGCATTGTCATGCTGCAAAATCACTTTATCGTGTCTCTCGTTGTATTGCGGCCGTTTGTCTTTCAATGCTCGGCTCAAACGCATCAATTGCATTCGATACCGCTCGCCTGTGATTGTTTCAGTCGGTTTTAACAGTTCATAATACACTACGCCGAGCTGGTCCCACCAAATACAGAGCATAACCTTGGACGTCAAAATCACCGTTCTTGAAGCGTTGAAACCACTCACGACACGTTCTTTCACTAATAGCGGCCTCACCATAAGTATTTGAGAGCATTCGATGAGCCTCAGCCGCAGATTTCTTCATATTGAAGCAAAAAATAAAAACCTCCCGCAAATGACGAGAATTTGGCTCGTAAACTGACATTTTCAATCGAGAATAACTTTATGATGCAGACACAAATCGACTAATGTTTCTATGGGGTTATGTTGACAGATGCCCAAGTTTATTGTATGACGTCTATGATCTATTTATTTCGACCACCACTTACCGCTAAAGCCATCTATAGGAAAACAGCGGAAGCAAAGTTGTACACCTAATAAAATTATAAAAAATTTTTCAACACAATTCGACACGTCTTCTCATTGAAGATCGAACACGTTCAAAGATTCCGGATTTATTCCGTATTTGTTGACAACACTTTTCAATTCTCTGAGTTAATTCATCTATTGTATCAACTGATGTGGCATATATCATCCAAAGTTGAATACAACAATCTCTGCGTAATTAGATAATCACATACGTGAATGGACGTCCTTGAATGAACTAATTAAGAGACTTGGAAACGGTTATCAACAAATAAACCTGGAATTTTTGATCTTCAATGACGAAACATGCCAAATTATGTATTGACATGAGTCGAAGGCACGTTGAACATTTATTGTAGATTTAATTTATTTTCTATTTTTCACAGAAGAAAATGTTTCATAACTCAGAAATAAAAGATTTTCGGACTACTATTCATTAAGACTTTTTGATTTTACGCTTTAACGAGTATTACATACCCCTAAAATTTGATACCACCTTTTGGGAACACTCTGTATATATAATGACTTAAATAATATTCTTGAAACTTCCACGGGTGCTTTCTATATAAAGATTATGCGTTTCGTGAGTTTTCTCCGTGTCTCTGAGGAGTGCAGTATCAGGCTGCTCCTGGCCCTGATGAAGTGGACTCCAAGGTTCACGAAACGTTGGCATTCTAAGAATATATCTGAACACCGAGAAAACTCGCGAAACGCATAATCTTTATATGACTTAAATAAGTTTAAAATTTAATAAAATGTTTTTAACACAGACAGTTTTAGTTCTTTAATTGAATAATATATCCATTGTATTATAGTTTTGTATTTTTGTAAGATATTTTATGAACGAATTCAATAAACATGCAAATCATAATATCTCATAAATAATTATCAAAAAATGAATTTGTTATAAAATAAGCTGAAATCGTATGATGTTTGATTTCTTAAATGATAAACATACATGTATGATGCATTCTAAAATACATTAATGCATTAAAATGCCGAAGACATAGAGCATGGATTGTGTGACCATTCATCGATGTGTAACATTTATCGATAAAAATGAGAGATAGGACGCAAAGTCTCTATCTGTTTCTATTCAGCCAATCACAATGTGTTAAAAAGAGAAGATGACGTCTTCATGCTCCCTCTCATTTTTGTTAACCACATTTGATATATTTAAATACGAATATTCATAGTTTGTTTTTATTGTAAGATCGTCTTAAGTAATATTAAGATATTACAACCCTCTAATTTGCTTAAGAATGTACTTAAGACAATTTCAAATATAAGAATTAACTATGAATACTGCATGCTGATACGTATGATTTCTGTATTTATTATGCACTATTTCGTTATGCACTAGCTTGCTATACTACACTGAAAAAAATGTTTGTTTATATCAACAAGATGTATATGGTTAAATGCATTTCGATTAAACCAAGTAAAATTTCTGAAAATTATTATGGACAGGATACTTGAGATTTTACAAGAACAGTTGATAGATTATACTACAAAGATTTGTTTAATATTTTCTTCTCTCTTTGAATCTACAAAATTCCAATTATATTCACTAGACATTACGAGACATTACCAAACATTACCAAAATCTGGAGACGGTAGTGTCTCGGAAATGCATTGAGCATAGCCGTGCTCTTTTACGTTCTAGTTAACATTAATGTCAACGCACCCCAGCAGTTCTATTATTGACATTATTATTGTGCAAGTCGAACAAAGATGAAAATGAACACATATTTATTTAAATTGTTTTGTGTCATGCATGTAATATTATCCTGTAATGAAATGCAACAATTACTTATATAAGATTCTTGTTACTAAAGACATAAGATTTAAGTCATAAAACTGTCTTAAAATTATAAGTCAGCCTTTTTGCTAAGATCTTTGCTAAAAAAAGATATCGGAGTTCATCTCCAAAATCTTTTTTTAATTATTGACATTCCTAATATTTGTTTCGCAGAATGGTTTTGACGGTACCCGGTTCGATGGCATCTCGCAACCGGTGTTGCCACCACCGCCACCTGGAGTGGCCGCGAACGCTGCGCAGCTGGCCGCGATGGCCGGCCATAGTGTGGCTCTCTCGCAAAAGAAGGGCTCGTTCCTGGGAGGAGGAACGGAGGGCGGTTATACCTTTTGGTAAACCACCTAAAACCATCTTTCGTAATACACGTACACGCAGAAAACATACACTCATGTACACGCCACATTAATTGTCGGAAGCGCCGTATTGTTGAGACGACGAGATTATGTAGGTAAATTTCCGTTAGAGTTCTGCTTTTCTCATCTCTGGCAGTTCCATCGATATCTATTAGTATACGTGTGCGCGGACTGATCCCACACACACACATACACACATAATACAAATACGTACATATACATACCGTATACACATATACAATAATATAAAATACACATTTTAACATGATACTGAAGGCAGCAACCGTGAGAGTTCCCACGCGATTCATATACGGCGATATTTGCGATCGATAGAAGCGATCCAATGATCTCAAGGACATCGCCGCCGTCTTGGTGATCGATCTGCGCCTCTCATGTACTATTGAACTGCAGAAAATCGTCCCGGCCGAGGAAGACTCGGACATAACGACGCTCGTCGAACATCCTCGAAAACTAATTCCTCGAAAGCTCATCATTCTGTAGAGAAGTCGGGAGACAGTGAGAGAGCATTGCGAGTTTGAAGGATTCATAAAGATCCGAAAATTTCGTGAAAGCCTGAGATCCGAGATACCAAGAATCCATGATTATCGATGACTTGAGGAAACGCCCGTTATATCAGATCTGAAAATTTCAAATTCTTATGATCAAAATTTTCTAGAATTCGAAAGGCCTCAAAAAATCAGAATCAATCATCAGTTTGCTCTAATTATCGAATCGAAGAAAATATAAATTTCGAGTTTCATAAATCTGAGATTTAAAAATCGGAAAATTGAAATTTCAAAGAACGAAAAATTTCAAAATCTCAATTTTGGAGGATTAGAGCATTTCTGAGAATCCATAAATCTGCGAATTCAAAGACTCAAATTGCTATGATATAAGGCATTAGAACACGTAAAGATACAGAACTCTAGTTTGAAGGATACGAAGTAGTGACTTATTTATGATCTCGACTTTCCCAGGATTCAAGGTATTCAGGATCTAACTTTAGTGGCTTCTATTAGTTAAGGTTACAGAGATTCGAGAATTTTAGTTAAATTTTCTTAAATTTAATTACACCGATTAAGCATTTCCGATAAGATAAAATATTAAGATCATACATATGTAAGTTTCCGAAGATCTGTGTCTTTGGTAACTCGCGAATTCGGGAGTTCTACAGTCGGAAGACCCGAAGGCTCGAAGCAGTCAATGTGCGTTTCCTACGATAATAGTTATTGTGAAAATGTTATTTTACAAAGGACAAACTTTAGTTAGACCAACGAAAGGCAGACTGAAAGGCCACTGACAAGAAACGACATTGTCGTTGCGCTCATCAAAACGGAAAGAAGAAAAGGATCAAGGATAGAGAGAGAAGCCCAATGTCGACAATTGTAGAAATTCACGAGACATATTGCGTTGATATTTATATTTAAATTATTGTTATTTAAACAATTTATTTGCAGATCCTCCTTAGAGACAGAATCATCGGTGCGATGCGTTTCAACAATTTATTTTATATCTCGAGAGAGTGAGAATAGAAAACAGAGGGAGTGAGAGAGAGAGAGAGAGAGAGAGAGAGAGAGAGAGAGAGAGAAAGTGGAATGAATTTTATATCACGGAAAAGCGTGCAATAAGCGTAAATATTGTAACAATAAAAAAAACGATATTAATTGAAAAATTGTGAACTTGTTATCACATTGAATGAGTGAGAAAACAAGAATGTGAGAGAGAATATACTGCGTGTGAGTGACAAAAAGTATGAATAAATGAGAGAGAAAAGTAAATGAAGGTAAACAATGAGTTGAGACAAAAATGTACCACTGCGCGATGATCAATTGTATGTACTAGTTAATAAATGCTATGATCATGCAATTCGTTAATCAGAATTTGTTTTCTTTTGGTCAGCGACAATTTCTTTATACGTAAAAGTACATAAAGAAACTAATTTTTAATGTTTTAAATCAGATTTTAAGATAGATATGTCCGAAATAGGATAGAACATATAGGAGAGTGACGTCGTATGTTCACTTAATGCTAACTAATGAATTGTTTTATTTATTACAAATAACATTTATGATAAATTGTACAAAAATATTTTATAAATTTCTAAGTCTAATTTAATTAAAATTTTTTGCGATTATTATTTATAGTTCTGATTGCAGCATTATGCTGTTTATAAAAAGTATCAAGTATTTTTGAATTCTGAAAAATCAAGTATCTCTCAACACAACACTTACATATTTCATGCAGATCTTTTCGAAAGGTCTTCCTTTTGTTGTGTAGTCAACTGCGTGATACCAACGATTTTGGGCATTTGACCTTGAACCAATTCCAATTTCAACAATGCATCCAAATTCTGAATCTCATGTTGTGCTTTGCGTAGACTCTAAAAAATTTAGATTTGACAGAATTTTAGAATTTATCTTTGACAATTACTATATCACGAATATATATCCATCTTACCAATCGTAGTTCGCTATTTACTTGAGGATCTAACTTGGCAAATTTCTTTTTCTGCAAAAATTCTTGTACGGTAAATCCGAGAAAACCTTCCAGAACCTAAAAGCATTTCAGTAATTCACATTTATCAATCTTCGGGAGGTCGCGAAGATAATATCACGCCAGAGATCACGATGTATCTGAGAAATACAAATATCTTAAATAAATATTGCATCTTTCACAAAAAAAAATGTGAATGCATGAAAATGTTTTATTTCAATAACAATATTAAAAATAAATCTGATTGGATTAATTATCTGATTGGATAACAATTCTGATTAAAAATAAAAAAATTAAAATTTTGTGATAGAATTTATTAATTCTAATTGAGAATAATTCTTATTAATATAATTGGACTCTTTTAGTTCGTCCATTTTCAAATAGAAATTTTTCTCACTGTACAATTTATCAAAATTTATATTTTTCTAATAAAACAATGAAAACAATAGGGTTACGAGCCAAACTAGATGTTTAGTGCTAAGATAATATAAACAATAAAATAATTCTAAACAAACGTTTCGACCCCTATCGGGTCATTCTCAACTAGTTTGCATTAAAAGTTGATTATGAAAAACCCTGCACTATCCTATATGAAATTGGTCCCGGTGAAATCAAATGGTTTTCATACATGTTATAGCTAGTCGGATACTTTGGGTAATACTTAATGTTGGTGATATTATAAAAGCCTTATAACTCGAAAAGTACTTCATGAAAAAATATCTTATTATAGTGTTTTGGAAAGCTCTCGAGATGTGCTGTAAGGATATGCAATTAAAAATAGGGAATTTCATTTAAAAAATTCAAAGTGACATTGCTCTGACCCCCCCCCCCCCCCCCCTC